CACACATGTGTAGTTACTAATTACCTTCATTTTTTCACCAAATTATGCTTTGTAAGTGTTTTATGCTAAACAACAAAAATTATATAGTTCATAAATATTTTAGTGTCACTTTTCATCCAGGCATGATTTTTTATTCCATGTTACTAAAAATTAAGCATTTCAAACATCTTTTAATATGTGTAAGAAAGTAAGAACCATAAACGTATAAAAACAAAACATGATGAAAGAGAATAATTATTGATGGATGGATGGTAACACTACAAAAAAAGGTAATTGTTGTTATTCATAATTACCTTTGATATACCGGTTTTTATCTAGCAAATGAGTCTAAAAGAGAATAATTAAAGAGCCAATATAGAATCATGTAGCAACTACAAGCATGTGGAGTCATTGCAAACTTCCAAAAATTAATTAAAGTTTAACCAAGACAACCAAAACTCATCATGACAGTGATGATGAAGATAATAACCACATACGTTTCAACGATTTTGACATCGTGCCAAATGAGACACATCTTACTATTAGGAACGTTCACCTAATATTCTCTCTCAGTTACCTTTTGTCTTCATGCATACAAAAGGACTACATACATTCCTATTTATTTATCATATCCTGCATATAATGATCCACATTATTAATTATTCTATGTATAATACACACATATATGTATTCCCTTCGTCCAACACAATCAGAGATCAAGCTAATTATCCAATATAGTTTCCTCTAAGTTCAACCAAATTGTACCCTTAAATAGTTAAATTGATCGATGTTCACCAAATAGTAGTAAACTTATAGCATTGTTAACACATGTCCTAACTTTTTGGGGGTTTGGTCCAGAAAACTCGTTGCCACAAAAAAGGTACGAGAGTTTCCAGTTGTAAAACCAGAGTTTAATTAAAACCTAAAGGGTTTCTCACATACATTAATCACGAAATTCAATAACAAGTAGATGAAATGCACAAGAAGCATGATTACACATAATTAATTATTTCTAAAAATTGTTTGTGGGGGGTTTTTTAATTATTAAACTATCCTTAATTCACATGAGTTTTTTACACCAAAATTTTACGAATATCCGTGAGAGCTGAACACATATACACACAAAAAAAATGAGTGGATGTGAGTTAGTTTTACCTCCATTGAGCCAAAGAAGAAGAGGCTTTTTGCTTGGATTATGAGTTGCTTCAAAGAACCAATAGAACAATGCTCTTCCATGTGTCTCATTAACCGTCACATAACCGGCGTATTGCCGGAATTTAACCGGCGGTTGTCCCGGTAGCTCCTTCACTCGATCAGCTCGTTGCGCGGCCAAAACCCTAGACCGGTAGCAACCACCGTCTCCGTCATTGTCGCCGTCGCTGCAAAGCTTTGCTTCTAAAGATGAGCTAAGAAGAGAGGACACAAGAAATAGGACAAGAACAGAGAAAATCTTATGATGAGAAATCCTCATTTTTTATTATTATATTCTAATTCTCAATTCATATAAAAAAATGGAATTTAAATTTTGGTTGTGGAAATTGCGAAGTGACTGTGTAAGCTTATATAATGTGCTC